CCCCACACCCCTGTTACCAACCACAGAGCTGCCCTATCACTTATAAAGGATCATCCACCTGCTTTGGTTTGTGCTTTGAACACTCAGCACAAACAGAGCCATTTGAATACCCTGACTCTGGAGCCTCATGTTCCTGTGGGATGCACCACCTTTAGCCCAGCCTGTGCCACCACTGCATTGGCAAGAAGGGCCAAGGTGCTGCTTCACCCTCCCAGATCAATGTGGAACAACTGATAGCTGTCACTATGTTAGCAGGGGCGAGCCGAGCCTCCTCCAGGGTAAAATAACTCCTTTTGTAATCTGCTCCTACAACACACCCACCCCTCTTGCCTGTTTTAGCCCTCCTCATCCTACATTACAAGCCCTGGAGACAGCAGGCGTGCAGAGCTTGAGCTATTAAATGCTGCATCTCTCAAACGTGCCCCCAGGACCGGGCCAGGGGGAGGAGAGGGCTCTGCCGCAGCACAGGCAGTTCCCCATCCCGCACTCATCCCATGGCTCCCCTGGTACCTGGAAAGCACCAGCAGGTTGTTTGCATCCCTGGGCCACGTCCTAAGCAGGTTTCTGTGCTCCCCAGGGTTTGGTCAGCGAGCAGTGAAGCTGGGTGCAGTGTGCCATGAGGATGGGCAGCAGGAGCATGCGCCTACAGAGGCTTTGACGCTAAATCTCTCTTACCGAGCATCACTTTTGTTGCATTTTTAGCTGACGTCCCCCTTCACTCAGCCAGAGGCGCAGGGAGATAACAGCAAGAGATTAAGTGAGCATCTTGCCCCAGAAGCCCTCATTATCCCAGGAGGTCTCCAGTGCCTCCTGGAATCAATTAAATGGACTGCGGTTGGGGATACCTGGCACTCCACGGGATCACAACCCGGAGAGGAGACTGTGGCAGGCAATTTCCCTTCTCTTATTGACATGCAAATCATCGCAGCGGCAGCTCCCGGGTTTAATATATCTCCAGATTGCCTGGCGTGGAGTCACATTAGTCAAGTGTATGTGGCAGTTAGTCCAGAGTGACTGGGTAATAAAAGAGTCAGCATTTGTACCTCTGCTTCAAGGACGGGCTGGAGAGCAGCCTGCAGCCACTCCTCAGCTCTCTCTCAGGTCCCCTCTGAGGCACGGAGCTTGGGGACTGCAAGCAGGTGTCCCTAAGTGAGGTTTGATGTTAGAAACAGACCGAGGTCCCCAAGAAATGTCCTTTGGGAACATATACGTCTACACCCCTCAGCTTCCACAGAGCTCCGACACCCAGCGAGAACAGGAACTGCCATAAGAAACAATGCCCTCTCCCATAAAACATGTTCCCAAGATTTCTCAGGTTTGCCCCCCATTCCCCTTAGCTACCATCACCATGGCTCAAAACTCATCATGAATACCAGAAGGAGGTGTTCCAAGCGCTGCTGTTTCCACCTCTGTCCCTGCCTAGGGACAGAACCAGCCCTGCAGCATTCCCTGCTCCCTTTGCATGGGTGTTTCTGTGCCCCCCTGCCTCCCAGACCTTCACACAGCTGATTGGAAAACCACGCTGACCACAAGTGCAACCGTGAAAGAGCTTTTCTTCCACACAGATGGAACTCCTTATTCCCTTCTTCCCTCTAAACTGCCTTCCTCATAATACCCAGACACAGCAGAGTGGCTTTGCTTGGGACCTGCTGGTTGAAACAAGCTCACTGGTCTGATGTTACAAGCTCTGTCCCGCTCAGCTGCAGCGTTGCTTTGAAAGTCCTCCTTTTGTCCATTTATTCCCAGCGTCACAAACCAATCTGTCCCAGAGGCTCATCCCTCATTATTTGTTAAGAGGGCCAACAAAGCCCTCTGTTCGGCACCATCTTGGTGCTTTGTTTTCAGCTTTCTATTCAGTCTGCTGTTTGTGCTTCTCAATGTCTGTACTAAGAGCTTTAAAGCGTTCCCTTAGCCTTGAACCCCCTCGCTCAGAGCCTCTGCAGCTAGCAGGAGTAATCACCACGGTGCAATCCAGCTCTTGCTTTTTGCTTACCCTTCCGTTTTCTCTTTAATTAAAAATCCCTTTGGTCTTGCACTTGGATCCGGGACGTGGTTTCCATTTGCCTTGCAAAGAGCCCAGCCAAGAATGTCAAAACCATTTGTCACAACCACCTTGCTTTGACCTGGGTGGCAGCTTTACCAGCAGGCGTTTGAGCTCTTCCTTGCCCATCTGTTCATCCATTAAAATCCCCACACTTCAACGGGCAATTCTGCCTCTGCATCCAGTGGCTTCTCCTGACAACCAGACCCTCGTAGAGACAGGGAGCCTTTCCCATGTCCTCGAGCAGATCAGTGCCACCTCATTGCCTCAGTTTAACACAACTACTCGAGGGCAACCAGTTGCCAGCAAGCCCTGATGGCACTGCCCAAGAGCATGGGAAATAGATGATACCCAGGTAGGGGGAGGACAAAAAAGACCCCCAGCACAGCAAGGTTCATGGGGACAAAGTGCTCTATCTCTGCAGCACAACCGGACCAGAGGCTGGAAGGGGAAGGCAAACAAGTCCTCCCTTTTGCTTCTTCCTTGTAACACATGGCCCAGGAAAGAGAAAGGAAAGAGAGAAAGAACCATAATATTCCTGCCTTATCCCATCTCCTCAGGTAAGATCATCACAGCATCAGCCCAACAGACACAGGCTCCAGGGAGACGCGAGGGCTGTGCCGCAGCCCCAGCTACCCCTCATCAGTGTCACATCCCCCGAGCCTCCGCAGCGCGCTGACAGGCGATTTGTATCCCGGTACAAACAGTTCCAAAAGGAAGCCAGAGCCTTACTCAACCTCCAAATATGTTCTTCGTGACGGCTGCCTCTAAAGGCAGTGGTGTAAAAGGTCCGGGGTGGCGGGGGGAGGCCGCAGCGCGCTGGAGGCTTCCATGGAGCAGGGAAATGAGTCAGTGCCATCTACCGGCTGCAGGGACCTGCTCGCTTCCCGTTCCCTGGATTCGGTCTCGGAACTGAAGGGATAAAAACCAGCCTCTTACACGTTGTCTCCTATGGCACAGCTGTAATGCTTCCAGCATCCTTCTGCCATTCCATAGCCAACAGCACCATTCAAATTCCCCCTAGAGGTTAAAGGTCCAGATAGGAGCCCACGGGCACAACCATGGACCAAGCCACATCCAACCATGCCGAAGGAGCCCCAGCCTGGGGCTACAGCTTCAGCCTTTCCAGCCTTACTCTTTCTTGCCATCTATATCAGGATCTCCCTTTGCTATCCCTGACAAAATCATAACTGTGATGTATGATGTACTGGCAATGGCAACCCTTGAGCTGGCCCAGATCTGTGCTGAGGAAGAGCTGTGGCAGTGCCAAATAGCAGCAGCACTGCCAGCATTCCCAAGGGATGGCGTGGCATCCTCAGCTTCCAGCACAGCAGTCACAAAGAACTGCTCCAAGGCTACCACAAGGCGTCAAAGCCAGGAGGAGATGCCAGGTATTCCTTGCTATCCCTGTTGTTCCCCTCTGCTGGATCCTAGTTAATTGGGAAACAGACTGTCAATGTGCTTGTCACCATTAATAAAAGACAACTACATCATTGCTCTATAATTGGGCTGAGATGCCAGATCACTGAGGAAAAGAGGCACTTTTGGACACTTCCTCCTGGAGGGCAGATACATCTGCTCATCCTCCAATGCTGATTATCCCCCGGACTCACCTCTCGGCATTCCCAGGCTCTGGCAGGCTCCACACGGCTGGAGGACGTGGCAATGTTGCGCTGCCGGGATTGCCCTGGGCTCCGCTTGCTGAGGTGCTGTCAGTCTCTTTCTGGGGACGCTGGTTGAGCTGAGCTCACCAAGCTGCTTGTGTCAACCCCAGTCAAATCAATGAACGCCTGCGAGAGCTGCCTTTGCCATTGGAAACAAGCAAGTCCGACTCTGGAAACCTCCTTGTAACGCAGCACTGTTTGTGAAGGAAGCAGTTCAGCGTAGGAGCAGCACAAAGCTGACCTGGGTCAGGATGCTGTGCACAGACAGCGGCATGCCCCATGCTATGCTCTTACCGGTAGCGTGTTCCTTGATTGATGGGCACAAAAGCAGCTCGTCCCACCACTGCCCCATAGCCCCTTCTCCACTATCGGCAGCTACAAAGGATGGTTTGAGTTGCCAGGATCTATTCCGAACAAACCAGGCTGTTTTACCTGCAGTGATGGTTTGCTGTGCAAGCAGCCGGCAGAAAACGGTTGTATCCTCTCGCTAGATACTGAAATCTGAGGGACCTGCCTTCAATTCCCTATATCTTCTCTTTTCCTTCAGCTTTTTTCTCTCCCCATTCCATTCCTGGTCTCCAGGGGAGCTCCAGGCCGCAGAGCGCCAGCATCCACTGCTCACCGACACACTCTACTCCCTTCCACCAAGAAAAGAGAGGATTTTACCAGAAAGGCCACGGATACATGCAATAAGAACACTAATCCCACACGGAAAAGGTGGGTTTACCACACAAACAAACTGCGAGCACCGAGAAGGGTTTCCTGGGCCCCCCCAACCTCTCCATAGGGGAGGCTGCAACAACCGAGGAGCTGCGACCTCTCTCAAGCGGCCCAGCCGGCCTGGGCCCCCCCGGACCCGGCCCAAGCCCCGGGGCAGCGGCGGAGCCCGAGGGGAGCCCGAAGGGAGCCCGGCGGAGCCCGAGGGGAGCCCGAAGGGAGCCGAGGGGAGCCCGAAGGGAGCCGAGGGGAGCCCGGCGGAGCGCCCCGTTGCACCGCAACCGTCACCTAGCAACCTGCAGGCGGACGCCCAGCCCTAATACAGCGCGTGTGCCCGCCCTCTCGCCATCTCGCCTTATGATTGGTTGTTCTCATATGATTGACGTGTCCACTGGCCAATTGTCAGCCTCCACGAGCCTCTCCCATGCTGGAGGCGTGGCGTTACGCGGAAGACGCTGCGGGAAGCGGAGGGCAGGAAGAAGGGAGGAACGCAGAAGAGTGTCAGCTGCGAGGGCCAATAGAAGAGGAGCAGTGAGGCGATGCAGCCAATGGTAGGGCGCGGAGGGCGGGGCTTGGGCGGGTGGGGTTACTTTAACCGGCGGTGGAGGTGATGGTGGACCCGGCCTGAGGTGAGGCGAGGACTGGGGCCGAAGGGTGAGGGGGAACGGGAAGATGGGGGCATGGGGAGAGACCCCAGCACCGGGAGGGGGTTCGGGCCCCCTAGAGAAGGGGCAAAAGGGCCGCTGTGCAGGATAGAGCCCCTTCCTTCTTCAGAGCCCGGCGCCCACCCTGCTTGTGGGTGTCAGCATCTCCCCATGCTGCTACGGTAAAGCGTAGGTCCCATAAGGACCCACGTTATGGTGGATACTGCCCTGCCTTGTTTGGAGGTGCAGGGAGAGGGGGATAACCCCAACAGCTGCGACACCGCCCCAGGGGATAGATGGTCAAGCCCGGCATGTCCTGCCCCATGATAGCTCAGGCTAAAGCTGTTTCTGTCCCCAGGTGGGAGCGGAGGGGAAGGAGATGCTCCTCAGGTCTGTGCTGGAAGCAGGATGAACCTGATGTCTATGGCAACGGATCCCAAGCTGCAATGGGTGACGCTGTGGGCCCGCATCAGGTGGGCAGCAGTGCTGGCGCTGCTCCTGGGCTTGCTCCTGGTGCTGCTGCTGCCAGCTGTGGAGGACCAGTGCCACGCAGTGCTCCAGGGGCTCTCCTTCCTGAAGGGTAAACTGGGCGCTGGCTCTTCAGGGCTCACCCGGTACACGGGGCACACCACAGAGCTCAGCGTGGCCTCCAACGGGCTGGAGCTGCTGGTGCTGAAAGGCAAAGCCTCCCCAGGTAAGAGCATCCTGGGGGATAGAGCTGCTGTATAGTGACAACCACTACAGATCAATCCCCCCACCCCGTAATAGTACTGAATGCTCAGTGCCCAGCTGCAGATTAACATTGGCTGTGAACAGCCCAGAGGCCAGCACCAGCCTTCTCTTGGTGCTGCTTTGCCTCTCAGGTTTTCCTCATGCTTTTAATACTGTTAAGTTCTGTGAAGGTAATTGGGAAACCTAGTGATTGGTTTAATACACAGTTACTTGGGATATACAGCCTTAATCCTGACATCCTGGGAATCACAGAACAGCTTTTCTAGCAATGACAGGCTGTGGTCGTTGCCTTTAGTGGCTGGGATATTAATTTGGGGAACATTCAGAGGAACGGTAACGATTCCAGCACTGTATCTCCGTTCACATGAAAGCTGGGAAGATGTTCGATAGTCAGTGAAGAAGCAGAAGCGCTGTCAGCAGCTGTGGGCTGTGCTTCTAGCAGGAGAACAGGTGCTAATTATCCACGAGTGTACTTGAGGCTCTGTGTCCTCCCATACACAGCAGCCTGGTGGCCAAAGCGAGTTCTGCTGGGACGCAACAGGCCTGTGGCCAGCGTGAGCCATGGTGCTGACAGATCCCGCCACGCTTCCTGCTGGGAACAGCTCGGCTGCCACACTGTGGCATAAATAAGCCTCTGTGCTTGTAACCTAGCAGAGGCTGCAATGCAAGTTCTCCTTTAGACTAGTTATTTAGCAGTGACGGTCCTGAAGTTTCCAGTAACCTCAGTGCCCTGTTATCTGACTGCTCTTGTGTTGCAGAGGTGAAGTTGGAAGCTAGAGCAGCTCTGAACCAAGCCCTGGAAATGAAGCGCCAAGGCAAGCGGGAGAAAGCCCACAAACTCTTTGTGTATGCCCTCAAAATGGACCCTGATTATGTGGATGCCCTGACTGAGTTTGGGATCTTTTCTGAAGAGGAAAAAGACATTCTTCAAGCCGATTACTTGTACTCCAAAGCACTCACCATTTCCCCCTTCAACGAGAAGGCTTTGATCCATCGGGACCGGACGCTCCCTTTGGTGGAAGAGATTGACCAGAGGTATTTCAGCATTATCGACAGCAAGGTGAAGAAGGTGATGGCAATTCCCAAAGGCAATTCCGCCCTGCGCAGGGTGATGGAGGAGTCCTACTACCACCACATCTACCACACGGTTGCTATTGAAGGCAACACTCTGACGCTGGCCGAAATCCGGCACATCATTGAGACCAGATACGCCGTTCCTGGGAAGAGCTTAGTGGAGCAGAACGAGGTGATCGGGATGCACGCAGCTCTCAAGTATGTCAACACCACCCTGGTGTCCCGGATCGGCTCAGTCACCACCAGTGACATCCTGGAGATCCACCGGAGGGTGCTGGGCTATGCTGACCCGCTGGAGGCAGGGCGCTTCAGGACTACGCATGTGTTTGTAGGGCATCACATCCCACCCCATCCCCGGGATGTCGAGAAGCAGATGGAGGAGTTCGTGCAGTGGCTGAACTCGGAAGATGCCATGAGCTTGCACCCTGTGGAATTCGCTGCTTTAGCCCACTACAAGTTGGTTTATATCCATCCATTTACAGATGGCAACGGGAGGACCTCGCGCCTGCTGATGAACCTCATCCTGATGCAGGCGGGTTACCCCCCCATCACCATCCGCAAGGAGCAACGGGCCGAGTATTATCACGTCCTGGAAGTGGCCAACGAGGGCGATGTGAGGCCTTTCATACGCTTCATTGCAAAGTGTACTGAGACAACCCTGGACATGCTGCTCATTGCCACCACAGAGTACTCCGTGGGCTTACCTGAGGCAGATGGCAGCGCTGCTGGATGCAAACAAACCATCCCCGTCAAGACTTGAGGGTTGTGGACATTGCAGAGCCACTGAACACCGAGGCACTCGGTATTCCTGCTGGGAAATAACTGGACAGGAGGTGCCACTCTTTAGCATTTTGTTTATTTAAAGTGTCTTACATTGGGTTAAATTAATATAATTTATTTATATACATTATGCCAAGCTGAAATATGAACTGTTGATGGTGACCTGTGTACTAGAACTTGCTTGTGCTACTGGAAGGAGGTGGGGAGAGGGATGTGAGGGGCTCCACAAGCTGAAGTGGAATTTACTTTCTCCTTAAGTTTAAGCTTTGAGCAGCTGCTCCAATCACAGCCCTTCACCTGGGTTACTTGCAGTTGCCTTTGTACAAGTGGGAAGCATTTGGTTTAGGATTACAGATGACGTGGCTGGCACAAGAGAAGAAATGCTGACTTACATCAGGGAGCTGCGAGGTGCTCCAAGGCCTTGCCTCAGCCCCACGTCACCCAGCAGGATCCCTGGGGACTGCAAGGATCTGTATCCTTACACATTTCACTTCAGGGCTTGGAGCGAGCTTCTACAAAGCTGCAGGCAGAAGAGGTTGTTCTACACAACCTCTGTCAGTGGTGCTGATCTGGTGAGAATGGGCATAGAAAAGTTGCCGAAAACCTGAAGTCCCTTCAATCTGCACCATTAGTTACTAGTAATAACATCACCTATGACAAATGCATCAGGAACACACGAGGCCTCCCTGTGCTGCAGTGGCAGTTCATGCAGGTCCTGGAAGCTGCTGTGCAGTACCAAAAAGTGCACTTTATCTTTGTTTTTAAGGTCAAAGCACCCAGAGCCTGACCCAGAACAGCTCCCTCCACCCCTGCCTGCCAGCTCTGCAGCAGCACACCTGATCCCAACACCCTTAAGTTCAGAAACCCTGGGATTCAATCCAGTTTAGAAAGCCTTTAAGCTAAACCCCTTTGACAAACAGCATAAGACTGTCCCTGGCCAGTGTTAGGCTTCATCCCTTCCCACTTCCTTCCCTGCAAGGTAGCCAGGTTACAGCTTTTACATTCAATAGACTGGGAGTTACCTGTCTACTACAGCACCGCTCCATGCTTATGTACCAGCCACTGCTGCCAGGGAAAGCAAACAATAAATGAATGAGGAAGGCTGCTCTGTCCTTACAAAGTATGCTTATTTTTGTAGTGTAAGTATCCTTATTTTTGAGTACAAAGAGAATCTGCACTTTAGAGCTCGGGGGGTGTTGGGGGGGAGGAAATGCAATGTTATTTTAGTAACAGATTATTAAACTATTTTAATATTAAAGTCTTTTGTTTGGAACAGGCTCAAGGTGCTTTTCTGCTGCTCTGAACTAAGAAGAGGTCACAGCTCAGCTTGTGGAGTAGCAAGTAACAGGGTGCATACATCCTGGCTCCACAGCCACATACAGCTGTGGCCTGGGGTGTAACAGAGGGCTCTGAAGCAGCAAGTCCAGCCCCAGCAGCTAAAGGAAACCAAATTCCTCACTAAGACTGTGTACATACCTGCCCTGAGGGCAAGCCCAGCCTTAGCATCCCCACCCAAAGCTTCATACCAAAGCGTTATTAAGCCTTTCTAAGCTGTATCAGCAGTCCAGAGCTGGCTGGCATGCCCAAGCTGCTCCATCACCACCACTGCCACCCTTCCATGGCTCAAAGCTACAAAGCAGACTCATCGATCCAAAGTAAAGCATCACAGAACATAAGCACTGAAAATAAGTGTTTATTTGCAGCAGTGCTCGTGTTGTACAAGTGAACTTGGCACTGAGGCCCCCCTCACACTCAAGCCCTGCCTGTGCTGACTTCCAGAGCCAGCAGCGGGTTCAGTTGCCAAGCAGCAATATTTCTACCCAAGCTCATGTACCAGACTAAAGTGGTTTCAGGCTATTCATAGGAGATGGAGTGAGCTATTTAGGGCAAGGTAAGTGACACTGTGGCTCTCAGTGCACCTGAGGCGAGGTACATCAGCATTACCCAGCTGCCAGAGGATAAGTGCAATTCCAACACCCACATTTAAACAAAAGCAACAGTATTTATAGAAAACCTTTGAGAACTTGAGTTTAATAAACCAGGAAAGGTCAGCTTGCACTTCACATTTGTACAAAACCATACAGAAACCACCTGCAAAAGACTTGATGAACTAGCTAGCAAAAACAACCCCCAAAAAAGAAAATGGTCCTTAGCAAGAGCACATACAGCTTATGGGAAACAAAAGTTACCAGCTCTAAGGATTACTTCAAACCATGAATCTGAATGTCTTTTACAAATACACAATATAAAAAACAGGGCAACTGGAACAGAACATTAACTGAAGACAGAGAGATGTGTATTGGTGTATATACATATACACACATGTATAGAAACTCTCCCAATACTAAAATAGGCCATTGTGGTGAAGTTAACGAGCGTCTGCATCTCACGCTTAATGGAAGGAGATGAATGTCCCTGCGAGTGTGTGTTTGGGTGGCAAATGGGTTTGTTGGCAGAGAGAATGACTGCAATCACAATCGGAGCTGACCAGTGGAGCCTGACAAGGTTAGCACTAAGCTTTCACATTGCATCTCGTTCCTTAACGAAAGAGACAGCCGTAAAGCATTCCTGAAACTCGACGTGGCATCCGACCTGTACAGGAAACACTTCCCCCCTCGTTACCCTCAATATGAGGAATCATATAATGCCATTTTACCAGAACATAGCATAAACTCTTTGCTCTTACAAACAGAGGAAAAAAAACCTGGATTTGTACCATCCTACACTGGTCTTCATGAATGCAGGAGTCCAGAACAGTATTTACAAGTGATTGTGACTGGTGTTCTCTCCTCGCTAGCGTAAGGACACAACATGGCTTCCATAAAGGCATTTCACATTTTACCAGACCCGCTGATTGCAGACTTTTTGCTCACTTTTTCAGTAGCATCTTGGCAAAGTCAGCATTGGACATCTTCTTCGGCTCCTCGGGGAGGGCGGAGGAAGCTGCTGGTGAGTTCTGGACCATCCCGTTCTCAGCCTTAGCCACAGGATTACTCTGGCGCTGCAACGCACGAGGCACCATGGAAAGCTGTGTCCTTCCCTTCCCTCGCCTGCAGAGCAAAAAGGGACACTTAAAGGAATCCCAGTGCTCTTGGAAGGTACTGGTTTAACTTGGGGAAACAAAAAAGGACTTTGTTCGCTACGAGGAACGCTCTTAAATACTACTCCCGTCTATGGTTTCAGTAATAAGCAGTGCAAAGCTTTCAATGGGTGCACTTTGAAACAGGATACCCAAGTTCTGGCGTAAAACAACAGCCCAGCAGCTCCCAGAAACTGAATCCAACACAACACTAAGCAGTGGGAGTGCCCTGAAAGGTGGAAGAGCAACCAGAATGCTCACTGTGAGCAATGGCTGGTTCTCCAGGACAAGAAGACATGGAGGTTATTAGTACTAAGGCACAAACATGTCCAATGCCTGATACTCTCAGTCACAACAGACCTGTTTCTACTGATAAGGAAGAAAAATCCACCTTCCTCCATCAATCCAGCAGCCCAGTTTTTGATGGTTCAGCACCTTTTAAATGTTCTTCCCTGTTCCACATTAAATGCCTATATTCTAGCACGTAAAGACACCCAGTCTTCCCAGTACTTACGCTCCATAGACCTGGCGCGGCACCGCGAACTGGGAGGCTCTGCCTGCCTCAGCCTTGTCCGGCAGCTTTCGGAGGGGGGGGTTACTGATCATCACCTTGATGACGTGCTCCTTGACTGTCAGGCCATCCATTTTCAGCACGGCCTGCGAGGCCTGAGCTTCGTTTTCATATTCCACATAGGCCAGGCCCTAAATAAAAGGGATTCCCTACGTTAGGTTTAGTGCTGCTTTCTCTGCATTTGGTCAAGCGGACCTAAACGTGGCTGAACCCTAAGAGTTCTTACCTACAACCTACACTTACTGACTCTCATTCATGAGTTTCACAGGAAATGAATCAGATTATAACATCCAAAGCACATTTATTTGTGGTTTAGACAGAATCCCAACTCAAACTAAGCTCAGAATGTGGCCTGCAAGGCTCAGGGTACACACAGGAGCACTTGTGACAAGGTGTGCACACAACAGGAACTGTACCTGAGATACTGCCAGGAGCTAGAAAATACATGAAAGAACACATGCACAGTCTCACCAGCACAGCACCCACTAGAAGTGCCCAACAGACACGGCCGAGGTGGAGTTTTGGCAGAGCAGCCACTGGTTTAGAGTCTCTTATTTCACAAGGACTCATTTATCCCTGTCAGAGAGACACAGCTCATTTCTCACTGGCAAATCTATTGCTGTAGCAGATGGTATGAACAATAGCCTCAAGGCACTGAAGGAGGGAGGAGGGGAATCAGTTACACCAGGTGAATGCAGCCAGTTATTTAGAAACAAGTTCTCTGCAGGCTTACCAATAACTTACTACTGACTAAAGACTTCACAACAAGATTCTTTCTGAAGGATTTCTTACATTAGGAGAGCATTGAGGAAGCCTACCTTGGGTTTGCCTGCTCGGTTGGTGACCAGCCGAATGTCTTTCACATTCCCATGGGCTTTACACACATCTTCCAGCTCTTCCTTAGTGCAGGAAAATGGCAAACCAGATATAAACAGTTTGTGTTTCTCCAGGGTAGTGCTGTACCTGAACACCTAGGAAAGGAGGAGGCTCTTAGTTTGCAAACCAAAGACTCCAATGATTTCAATCACACCCCCAAAAAGTAATGCCAATCCTGGTTTATGGCAAAGGAACCTAAGAACCAAAAATTCCCAGGAAACAGTTTTACTGCCAAATTCTCACATTACCATTCCAAACCAGCACAACACGAGTTCACCACACGCAACAGGCCCAAAGTTCAACCTATTACTTGAAAGACTAGAAGTCTACCTTGAAGTCTGGATGCTTGTTCTTGTCAACACACGGAGACACAAACATGGGTCTCCCCTCCACAGCTTGACGATCCAAGGCAAGGGCCTGGAGAGCAGATTTCTCCTCCTTGAATTCCACGTAGCAATAGCCTCGGAACATCCCCTTGTTGCTGAACACCGGACGGATTTCTGCCACCTCCCCACAGCTCTCAAAGAGCTCTTTCAGTTTCACCTCTGGCTCTGCCATGTTGTAGGAGAGGTTGCTGACAAAGACGGTTACGTTATCCTTACTGCTGTCA